ATGCAGACTCTGAACTTTCCTCATAGAGATGCATTGATTCAATTTAACATTATGAGGAGATGCTGATTGGCCAGGGCTATGTTGGACTTGTGCTGGCTTTGCCCCTGATCTGCCTAGTTGACAGTCTCAGCCAATCCTATGGGGAAGTATTGTAATTTGCTCAGACCACCGCTGTGTCTCAGTGTCCCTATGTATCACAGTGTCAGTGTCTCCATGTCGCCCAGTCCCCTAGTCTCCCAGTGTCTGTGTCCCCATTTCTTCCAGTGTCCCAATGTCTCAGTGTGTCCCCATGTCATTAGGATGCTGGGGACACTGAGAGACCCGGGGACACTGGGAGACATGGGGACACTGGGAGACATGGGGACACTGAGACACTAGGGACACAGACACTGGGAGACATGGGGACACTGAAACATTTGGGGACACTAAGACACTAGGGACACAGACATGGGAACACAGACACTGGGAGACTAGGGGACACTGGGAGACTATGGGACACTGGCTAGGAGACAGACACTTGGGGACACTGGGAGACATGGGGACAGTTGCGGACATAGACATATGGACACTGTGACATATAGGGACACTGGGAGACATGGGGACACCAGGCACACTGAGACACTAGGAACACAGACACTGGGAGACATGGAGACACTGAAACATTTGGGGACACTAAGACACTAGGGACACAGACACTGGGAGACTAGGGGACACTGGGAGACAGACACTTGGGGAGACATCGTGACAGTTGTGGACATAGACATGAGGACACTGGGACACATGGGGAAACTAGGCACACTGAGAGGCATGGGACACAGACACTGGGAGACTTGGGGACACTGAGACACTAGGGACACTGGCTGAGGGACATAGTGTCTCCGTGTCCCAATGTCCCTATGTCTCACAGCGTCCCCATGTGTCTCAGCATCCCCATGTGTCCCCTAGTGTCTGTGTCCCCATGTTTTCCAGTGTCCTCAAGTGTCTCAGTGTCCCCTAGTGACAGTTTCCCCATGTGTCCCCTAGTGTCTGTGTCCCCTAGTGTCTGTGTCCCCATATGTCCCCAAGTGTCTGTCCCCTAGTGTCTCAGTGTCCCCATGTTTTCCAGTGTCCCCAAGTGTCTGTGTTCCCAGGCCTCCCAGTGTCTGTGTCCTAGTGTCTCAGTGTCCCCTAGTGTATGTGTCATCATGTGTCCCCTAGTGTCTGTGTCCCCTAGTGTCTCAGTGTCCCCATATGCCCCCTAGTGTCTGTGTCCCCATATGTCCCCTAGTGTCTCAGTATTCCCATGTGTCCCTGCTGCCTTCCCCCCCATCCCTCACTTACTGAGCTGTAGAGCTGCTGTCTGGACTCTCTGTGCTGTGTAGCTGCTCCCCTACGGATCAATGACTAGAGAGAGGCAGGGAGGGATATGCTGTTACTTCCTATCCCTGCCTCTCTCCACACACACAGTGACCCCTACTGGCCGGTGCTGGTATTGCAGAGTAATTTCCAATTATTCTGAGAAAATTACCTGCATTTGTATTGCCGGTATTACTGCAATACCGGCACGGCCAGGCAGCCTCAAATACCGTCTGTGCCATTAAAATACCAGTCAGGTGGCAAACCTAAGAGTAGTGTGTAAAAAAAAAAAAAAAAAGTAATTTTCTTTTTTTTTTTTTTAAATGGGCCTATTCCATGGGCCTGGGCCTGGAGCTGCAGCTCCATCAGCCCCTATGTTAATCCGGCCCTGCACATAATACATACAAAACTTTATTTTACTAGGGACTGGCCCATATAATTACATATACATTGCTGTGACAAATACATAAAAATTCAAATAACAAAATACGTCACAAAATTTACAGGAAATTATAATAGCATAATAACATATTTATAAAGGGATGGGGTATGGGATAAAATAGGCTGGTTGAATAATGCTTGAATTATGCTTTCCTATGGGGAGGTCTAATGCGTCAGTGCAGCAATTGACGCTGATGCGCATTAGGTCTCCACCGCCGGCTGACGTCGGCGGGGGAGCAGCGTGGGCGGAACCTGACCCAGCGCCAAGTAACATCGGCGCTGGTTTCAGGTAAGTGTCTGAAAGGGTTTTAACCCATTCAGCGACGCAGGATGGGGGGCAGCAGGGGTACTCAGGGTTTGTTTTCCTGGCACTAGAGAATCCCTTTAAGTTCACTAGGGTCTCAACACACACATCTAGCATTGTATCTACTGCATACTCATTACCTAGTTACCGACCTCCATGGAGGTCAGAATCCCACATCATCACGCTACACACGGGGGTCACATGTCCAGCAATGAGCACTTCCGGGTTGCTCGGAGGTTCACCATGAAGATTGGTAAGTCACTTGTGGTCGAAACGTTGATCAGGACTTTGTGTATGTTGTTTTGAAGTAATTAAAGTAATACAGTGATTGAAAAAACCTGTGGAGTGTACCCTAATTTTGGGGATTATATTTATGATGCGGGTCTGCACCAGGGTACAAACAAAACTTTTTTTGCTTAAGAAGTTAATGCCAAGCTTTTTGCAAATATATATATATATATATATATATATATATATATATATATATATAGTAGAAGAGGTGCACTCACAGGTCTTCAAAAAGTGTCG